TCGCCGTCTCCTCGCTGTCATCCTCCTCCTCTGGGACCATGTCCCCGTCTCCAGACTGCTGTAGCTCCCGCTCTGGAGCGTCCACCACCGGGTCTGCCAGTCCGGACTGCACGAACCTCCGTGGTGTGCGTGCTTCTGCACTGCCACCCAGGATCTGGTCCAGCTCTGGGTAGTAGGGGCAGTAGTGGGGGGCTGCCCCAGACCGGGAGCTCTCCTCCCTGGCTTTGGCGTAGCCCTGCCGCAGCTCCTTCACTTTGGAGCGCACCTGGTCCTGGGTGCGGGGGTAGTGGCCCTTCTGGGCCAGGGCTTCAGCCATGCGGCCATAAATGTTGGCGTTTTGCCGCCGGCTTTTGAGGGCCTGTAAGGCCTCCTCCTCTCCCCACAGCTCCAGCAGGCTCTTGATCTCTGCGCCGGACCAGGATGGTGCCCGGTGCTTGGAGCCCTTGGCTGGGTCCCCAGAAGGCTCGGTGGAAGGGCCAGGACGCTCTTGGGGCTGGGACATGCTGCAGCAAGGTCACCGTGTGCTCTGGCTCCTTGTCTGCAACAAGTGGCTGTGAGGGTGCGCCTGTCCCTTTAAGGAATGGCTGCAGCCAGGAACCACAGACGTGCAACCCATGGCCCAGATTGTCCACCAGGGCTTGTTCCTGGAGGCCAATAATTTCGAAAGAAAGGGCTCCCCCCGTCCAGACTCACGTTCTTTCGACGGATCTCCCTCGAAAAAGGCGTTCTTCCTCGTGAAACGAGGTTTACCGCCGTCGAAAGAAAAGCCGCGTTCTTTCGATTTAATTTCGAAAGAACGCGGCTTGAGTCTGGACGCAGGGGAAATTCTTTCTAAAAAAGGCTACTTTTTTTGAAAGAACCCCTGAGTGTGGACACGGCCTCAGTGTCTCTGCAGTAGCCTTGGAACCAGTGACCTAAAGGGGAAGCTTGTATATCCTACCATTTCTCTGTGCACACAAGTGTGTTGTTGTAGGACAGCTTCAGACTCCTGGTCCTTTTTCACTTTTAAAAGTACCTGTGTCTATGCAATATTTATGCTGGAACTTCCTTTGGTTCCTACCTCCTCAACACATATAAAGAAGCATATGGATTTTACCAAAAGCTGGCCCATTCACAGGGTCGTTTTGAAAAACAACTGCTTTGATGTAGTCAGAGATGTCAAGGTGAAAAAGAAAGTCAGTTTCCTATGAAATTAACCTGATTGTTTTGTCTGTGAAAGTAGAATTTTAATGAAATGGTTTACAAATGGTTGAGTTTGGGGGGAAGTGGATTGGTGGTAAAGTTTGAACTTTATAGAGAAAGTTTTCCCTTGTAAAGTGCCACAAAACATGTTTATAGAACTAAATTTAGCCTATCCATGGACTTGCTTTTTTCTAGACAGCAATCTTTTTCTCATAAATCATAAATTAAGGTTGTCAAATATGCTGTCCCTTTTTTATATACATATAGCACTCACAAAAGGAGTAGGAGTTTTAGTTCCTGTCCAGCTTTATGGGCCATTTATAAGTAAGCCTTCCCCAACGCGTTTCAGTGAAAATAAAAATAAATTGCACCAAAAAGCTTTATAATAGAAAGTCCAAACTATTGTGGTAGAGTCAGGACTGGATTAAGGCATGGGCTAGCCAGGCAGCTCCCAGAGCGCCAACCTATTGGGGGCCCCTGATGGCAGATATAAGGGGTGAGCAGCACCCCTTATAGCTGCCATCAGGCGCCACGCGCCCAGCTCCTGGATTGTGGGGTGCAGCAGCTCCCAGTGGTCACTCTGCAGCAGC